ATTACATATCTTTTTAACAAGACACCATAATCAAAATACTTTTAGCTTTATAAGCATTTTCAGAAATTGGAAAGTAGCCGAGTAAACGAGAGTTTGAGCCTCCCTATAGGGAGTATTCACTGGCGGCCATAGCTGTGTGCGCGACTGCTGAGCGAGTGCTGATGGCTAGCTTCCAGGGTTCGTTTGCAACATGCATTCCACACCGTCAAAATGGCCGGTCTTAGCAGCCTGTAAATGGGGGCTCGTCCTAAGCATGCGCTCTAAACAGCACCCACAAATATGGCGCCCAGTGAATACTCCTTATTGGTTACGCTATACACGCTTTGCAGCAGCTGTGCATGGGTGCCGCCGTAACCGACCATCAGTTTTTTTTTCTTTCCTCTTATTACATTTACTCTACCTCATCATTAGCACAGCAGGGCAGGTTATTGCCATTTCAGGTTCTGCTGTGTCGTTCTCCGCAGCACTGACCTTTGCGGAGGCTGGCAAACGCCCGCTTTAGTGGCTCGGAATCTGGGAAAGATAATTGAAGGTCAGCAAGTGGCCGCTGGAATTTGGCGCGTGTGGAAAGCGGCCATAGTTCTTCACAAACAACATAAACATGACCTAAGTTTGTGGAATTTTCGCTCACCGCTTGTCAGGAGAAAGGGGCCGAGTTTTGGTTGAGACTTGACATTTGGAGCCTGGACTTCGACGGAGTGCACTGTCATGGCTGAACTGTCGTGTTTCTTCACGCGCCTCGTGCCCCGTGCCTTGCACCGCGATCGCATCCTGCACGCCCGCCGCATCTTTGACTAAGTTATCCATACATGTCCAAATCCCCACATCTTCCCGCCTCTCGCCCCCCCCCCCCAACCCCCTTTTGTAGATTTCTCATGTTTAATCAAATCAACAGCTAGTCTTCATTACTGAAGCTATTATCAAACTCTGCATAGGAAAATCACGGTCTTCTAAAGACGATTTCCGCGTCACTGCGAAGACCTACCACACTCAATAGGAAAATAAACTAGCATTTTAAAATCCATCGATTTAATTATCTCAGAACCACCGCCAACCATTTGTAGAGAGATATAAAACCCCATAAGTAACACTATCCTAGCCGAAGTGATAATCGGGTCTTAAAATATCCTAGAATTACAAAAAGAAGAGAAAATAACAAAACATTTTCATGCTTTTTCACCGGTCTCTATCTGTGACTAAGCATCTTTAATAGCGCTAATTACTTTTAAAAGTATTCCACCTTGCGCCAAGACCAGCTCGCGTGAAAAGAGAAAACGATCGGAAGAGCAGTCATACTTTTGGGTTAAAATAAACACTAATTATAAAGCGTGCGTTCTAATCTGTTCACCAGGGCGAAGTGTCCCGCCGATGCGCCCCACACGGGGCTACAGGAGACAGGCGAAAGTACGGGACACTTGAATGATAAAATGAACAGGTTTTCGCTGTACGTGACCATCTCCATCTTCATGTCCTCCAGCTGCTCTTGGCATTATCGAGACTCTTCGGTGTTCGCGACCACCTCGACATTTTTCTTGACTGTGCTGCCCATGGCGTCCTGCCGTGGCATCGTTCTTCATATCAAGAGGACTTCATGCAGGACTACAGCACAGGCTGCTGGTGCTACCTATACGACTTGATTTGTCGCTAGGGTGATCGTTTTAGCTTGAAGCATTGCAAAAATCATGAATTTCCTCATCCGGTTAGCCCCAGTGTTCAAGGCCCGCATTCTCCACAGCTAATCTAACTTTTAAAAGTCTTACAGTAGACCAGATTAAAGGACCAGGAAAAGACTGAGAATTACCAGATGATGGCGCGCCTTGATGGTTTTGTCTTTAATCTGGGCAAAGCGTCACGGTGACATCTTTTTTATGAATGCAAGACACATTGAAGTTTTTGAAGTTTATTTGACATATGAAATGCCGGGGAGGGAGGAGCAAAGGTTGCCGAAGCTACCTGACGAGGCTCCATTCCCCTTTTCGGCGCTACAGCAGTCGCAGCAGCAGTGTGGAAGTCGTAATAAAATTCAAGGTGAAAATATTTTCACAGAAACGGTTTTGACATAAATTAAACACAAACAAAACACAAATTAAACACAAACTAAACACAAACCAGACACAAACTGAGATGGTTTGCCTTAAATCGATTCATAAATGAATGCATAAAATAGTAATCATCTGAATCTGGAGAGCAAGAAGCAGTGGCCCAATATTTAAGCCGAGAGCGTAAAAATGTACTCATTTATTTCCTTTTTAAAGCTCCGCAAAGAAGAACAGCAATTTATAAAATCTAATACTTCTGAAAATTTGTTTAAATATTCCGGAATCAAAAAGCTCAATTTCTGTGACCCGTAATTTGTGCGAATTCTCTCCTGAAGGAATAACTCATGCCGTAAAGTATATGTCGTAATTTTCCTTGGATACAAATCTATAGACAAGGACCTCTACACAGCTTCTCCACACTGGAAAATGCGAACGTTTTCTAAAAGCAAAGAGCTGAAAACGAGAAATTAATTGACCGATTTCACCAGGCAGTTTGACTTCACTACCACTACCGCAATGCATCGAGGGGGCTTTAGGCTTTCTGCACGTGCGAAAGACCCGCTGGAGCTCTGCGCGTGTGGAGCACGAGACTACACTGTAACGAGACGGTACGAGCCCTCGCATGCACGGCCGTCATACCTCGTGTCAAATAATGTTGTGGCGGCGTCACGCATGCACCGAACACTTAGTAAGATGGGTCTATTTTAGCAAGTTTGCCGTTGACGCCGCCTTCGAATTCATAACAGAGTGGAACAACCTACCTCATCACATATTAATATCTGACAATGTTTTGGAGTCGATTGAGCGTTTGTTTGATGTGTAACTCTTTGCATTGTGTTTTATTTTCCTGTTCCCCACTACCGCCACCCCTCCCAACTTTGTTGTGAGCTGTTACATGTGCTTTATTACAATTTTTGCATAATTTTCCCCTGTTCCCCTCTCCCATTTTACGGATTACCTGGTGTTGCGCTTTTTGACTCCACTTTTGTAACCCCCAATCCTGCTTGGGCCGCAATTGGCCCGCAGAATTCCTAAATAAAAAAATAATAAAAAAATAAAAAAATAATGAGGTCGAGAGTGCATGATATAGGAGAGGTTGCTTTCTTTTCGCGACCATTACGCCGTATTCACACTGGCGGTTGAACCGCGTTCGCAAAGCGGCTGCGAACGCGGTTGCTCAAAGATGCGACACAATTGCACGTTTGTTCCATGATGAAAGTGAGCGGATCCGCTTCGCGGTTGCGATTCGAGAGCCAGAGTAAATGCACTGTTAGAGCGGTAGTATTGGAGCTGATTAGATTGCCTTTCGATTCCTAATATATATAAACGATATTGTTAACGGGCCGCTTGTATCATGAGCCTACGATATTGTATGCTCATGATACTAACGTGTTCTTTTTATAAGATCATCTACAAGAGCTTCAAGTAACTGCAAAGAGCTTGTTTGTAGAACTATATCTATGGTTAGAGTCTACTCAGCTAGTGTTAAGCACAAAGAAAAAAATATGTTATATTCAGATCAAAGAACAAACCGCTGGAGTATAAACCACATATTCACTTTCTAAATTAGACAATAGAGTTTACTACGGCACACACATTCTTGGAGTATGGATTGAGGAATTTTTAAGTTAGACAAAGCATGTAAATAACATAAGATGTAACATCTCACGTTCAATTGAATTGCTGCGCAAACTAAGGGGATTACTACCAAACTGGCTCGAGCTACAGTTGCACTACGCTCTTGTAAATTCTCGCTTACAATATTCTCTATTAGTGTGGGGCAGAACCACAAAAATACGCACTGAAAAAAATATTCCTTTTACAAAAGAAGGCTGTAAGAATTATTGAAAATTTAGGGTACATCGAACATACAGCAGCCTCATTAAAAAATACAGGTTATTACAAATAAAATATGTCCTCTCACACAAATTGCCGATCCTCATTCTTGATCAGATAAAGCACGATGTGACATAGTTCTTTGATACTTATCTTTATAAACCTGCGGATTATAATTTCAGGCGCACCGCTTTTACAAAACCAAACGTTAGAACTAACTGTGGAACTCAAAAACCAGATTACCGATTTCCTAACCTACTAAATAAACACCCAAACACTGTACGAAAAGCACAGCAGTGTAGAAAAAAGCCGCAGGTCCAGGAAAAAAGTAAAACATGTTTTCCTTGAAGCTAATTGCTTACCTTAGATTATTGTTATAAAATGTAACTTTTACGTTTGCATATGGCAAATAAAATGACTTCAATATGTCTTTTTTTCCATGGTGTTAGAAAGTGTTATGATATGTTGATGCCAGACGGGTGTTGGATGATATTGTAGATAACGACAATGTCAATGTAAATAAATGCAGTTTTCTCTTGTCTTTGTTTTATAATTTGCTTGTTTTGTTTGTTTCAATTCTTTGGTTTTTATTGTGGCGCATTGCTTATGTTCATTTGTTTATATGAATAAAATTGATCTTAATAGTTCACAGATGTCTAGGTTTATTTTAATTTTGTTCCTTAATTATTGGGGCGGGGGAGGGGGGGGGAGACACATCAGAAGGCTTTTTGCCTTCTGTTGCTGCAGCCACCCAGACACATATGTAACACATGTGTGCCTGAACTAAACTATTCTATTCTATAATGTCTTTGACTTTTGAATAGGGTCAATTACTTGTGCAGAGAAAAATAACAAAAAGTAAGAAAATTTCCGCAGAAGATGTTTTTAAAAGGTAATTCAACTGAAACACAATTGTTTTCCTAAAGAAGAAAGCTCCCCGGTCAATCTGTTCCCCTCAGCCTACATCAACAAAAAAAATCATAGCGCAAATTTCGTTTTTGTTGCAGGTGCTCATTCGAATCATACACGTGATGTCCTCATGCTATAAATAGGAGGAGAGATAAAGAGAGAGGAGCATTTGTTACGACTTATGAGAATATTTTTACCATCGACAAAGATCTCAAGATGTTCGTAGTATCCCTCTTCATACCTCTTGTGGCTGGGAACGTCTTTATGGAAAGCAGTATTCGGCGTGTTCCGGAAATAACCGAAAGACAGCATACGCCGACGAAAACCTACATGATATTTGACCCCTGCAACGCGAACAAACGTGAGACCACTTTTTCCATCCATCCACGTAGACCGAACAATGTTTCGGGGATATCATTATGTTCGTTAATAGCGACATATCGGGTGCAATGTACAGTGGGCCAATATTTTAATAATATCACGCGAGCGTCGACCGCCGGGATGGCCAGCGCTGTGCCGCGGTGGGATGCGGCGACACGCGAGAGATTATGCGCGTGCGCACAAAGCTCTTTCCTTTACGAGCGCCGTCTGCTAGGCTGTTCCTTTGACCACACACAGACCCTGTTGATTATCTGCTGGCATAGTTAAAGTGCCGATGCAACAATTTTTGTACTTTGCGCAAATACCGCTTAAAACGGATCCCTGATAATAATGACCGTTTATCACCCCACACAATGCAAGTTCCAGAAAAAGAAATTAAAGAAAAACGAGCACCGGTTCACCCCCTCAACTCGCAGGCAGAACAAGCAGGAAGGAGACTGGCCGGAGTCAGGACTTTCGCAGACGCTGTCAGGAAGACCCGGACGTGCTCTATGCGGACGCGGCCTCGTGCTCTACTCCCATTTCGGGCAGGTGCATCGCGGTGTGCCGCCCGAACGGTGAGAGGCGAACAGCTGCCTCTTTGCTCGGATCACCGTCCGTCGCAGAAGCGGAGGAAGCGGCAATGGCCTTAGCTATAACTAGCACCCAACACACAAGGAGATGCGATCCAAACGAAATGGTTACCATACTCGCCGACTCTCAGGCTGATTGCAGGGCCTGGGCAGGAGGACTCGTTTCTGAATGGAGTAGAAGAATCCTAGCCCACCTAACCCACGAAGAACTCCCTTTGATTCACACACTGTGGACACCCGGCCACACTCTTCTTCAGGGTAATGAGAGTGCAAACTCTCTCGCTCAAGGACTGACCTTCCGAGCAGCCCGGCATGGGGAAGAGGAGTTGGTCGAGAGCAACTCGACTAGACCCGTCAGCAACCGTCAACAGTCAGACGACGAAACCGAAGAACGCCCCACACAAAGTCCGCAACTCGAAACCTCTAATCAGGTTACAGAATATTACCGTTCTGGGCGAAGGACATATCCACCTCCACACAAAGACTTAAGCAGACGCGAAGCTACCGAATGGAGGCGCATACAAACACAGACTTTTCCAAATCTACACCACATTCACCTCTTCTTTCTTGGCAGCTATCGAGGCACATGCCCGGGCTGCAATTCCCCGACCCCCACACTCTATCACTGTACCTGGCCTTGTCCGACTCCACTCGGAGAAGGGATTCAACCCCTACTAAATCCTTCCACATCCTCCTGGGAGACTGCCCTACTCGGCTAGGGCCCTGAACAACAGCGAGAGCTGATCGCTCGGGCCAGAAAAATAGTAGTAGCCTGCGGGGCCCTGGACGTGGGGACCATTAAACTATATAACGCAGCCAATGCTACAAGCCATCAAAACCAATCCAGTGATTTCACCCTGCCGTGTGACATTGTGCTTCCACGCGCAGTTGTACCCAACGGGAAGGCCACGAGTTAACGATGGACTGGCCAAGATAACTCGTAGCGTCGGCTGCTGTACAACACAACGTAAAACGGAGTATAGACAGGGTTTTCGCTAGATATTCCTTATTATCGACTGCGTTGTTGCTCTCGTCATCTAGCCTATGTAGCCGGGTAGTCACACTTTTTTTTGACCAGCGGGCGTGCGCACATTTTTATGGCACCTCGAGTGCCTATAGAAACACGGGAACGTGTTGTGAGAGTGTCGATGGGCAGCATGACTCAAAGGGGTATCGCAATAACAGTCCGGGTTACACAAGGTAACGTCAATAGGATTTTGAACGCATTTCAAGAGGAAGGCGTTCATCGGCGATGCACTTCGACATTGCGAGCGCCCTGCTCTCCCTTGCTACGGAGCGGGGGCTGAGTGCGATCAACGGAATAGCCTAGCAGACCACGCTCGCACTCGAAAGGGCTTTGTGCGAACGCGCTTAATTTCTCCCGCATAGCCGCAAGCCTCCGCGACACGGCACTGGTCGGCCCGGCGGTCGACGCTCGCTTGATATCAGAGAGTTTTAGTCGACCGTTTTCGCTTTCTCGGTCCGCTCTATGGAAAGCGGGGTCGCCATCGCGCGCGCGCGACCTGCTCTGGGATTTGAGCGTGAAGCGTCAGCTCCGCTTTCCCCGTCATTTTAGTAAGCGCGTTCCACTCTCAGTAAAGCTTCAGTAGAGGGTGTTTTTCTAAAAGGGAATTCGAAATGGGTGCTCGCCACTTGAAAGCATGCTTGGGAGCATGCACGACCGTTTTGAACCTCGCTGCACTAAGATGGCTGCGCAGACTTTGTTTGAAACGGCGTCCTCAAGAAAAAAAATTGCGGTGGCTTAGTTCGGCTATGCCAGGATATACGTAGCGTGAGGTTATGCGCACAAAATGAGAGGCGCTACCAAGCGGCTCCGGTGCAGCGTCAGACTTGGCTACTGCGCAACGGAGGCTCACAGCTGGGCACACGGCGCCGCCAGTGCGTCTGCCCCGGCTACGAAGCCACTCCTCTGGAATGTGCAGACCGGCGAGGCACGCGGTGGCAGCGGAGCGCGCGGCGGCGGCGGCTCCGGCGCGCCAGCTGTGCGTCGTGTGACGTCACTGCTCCTCGCGCATGCGAAAACCAGCGAGGCGCGCGCGGCGGCGGGGTCTCCGGCGTGCGAGCTGTGCGCCGTGTGGCGTCACTGCTCTTAGCTCATGCGCAGCACGGAGCACGGCTCATTATGCGAGCCACGCAAAACTGCTCAACGTCGGCCAGTGTAGCTCACGCTACAAAACGTTTCATGGTGTTCGAGAAAAGGTGACATATTGAGCCTCCGGCTCAGCAACACTTTATTTGATTTCCTTGCTCTCGAAACTCTGACTGACTGACTGGTGTTCGAGAACCTCTGGCTGCTTCGGGAAACCGCTGGTCACAATCGTTTTACGGCCCCTGACCGGTGGAAACAGATGCTGCCTTGTCTAAGTTAGCGGGCTCGACTTTTTTAATGCGAGCAGTCGGCAAACGAGCAGATATTTTGTTAGGTTATTTTGGGCAGCAAGACAGTGCAAATTAGCTAAAGTGATTGCTCCATTTATATCCCTACTCTTCTGTTGTCCCAATGAAATTAAAATGGTGGATACTTGGGCTAGTTGGTGGTTGCTATACATAATTAAACAGCGCACAAGGAGAGGGACAGAAAAGGAAGACAGAACAGGCAAGCGCTGACTCGCAACTGACGATTTACTATGAAAAGGAGAAGGAAGAAAACTACACACATGAACAGATGTCGGAAAAGAGAAAGATGTGAAAAAGCTAATAAATTAAATAAAATTACACCTAAAATAATTATAGCTGAAAAGGAAAACAAAATAAAATGAAAATCAATCTCTCAAAGTCCTAGGCATGTCCAGTGCCGGCACTCCGAAGCCTTGACCATACACCTATTTGTGCGCAGCTGCCCCCATAAACTCATACTCGCTGTCTTGTAGTGTTAATGATGGCTGGCTCACACATTTGGATTCGAGCTTTCTTATCCAAAAGGCTTCCACTATTTCTCTTGTTGTTTTTTCTTTATGGGAAGCTAGAACAGTTGTTGCACAAAAATCTGGATCACATCCACAGGTTCTGCAGTGGATGGCTAGGTGGCTTCCAGTGGTGGTTTGAAGAGACTGTTTATGTTCCCTCAAGCGGTCGTTGAGGCAACGCCCAGTCTGTCCGACATAGGTTTTCCCGCAGGACAGAGGAAGATGGTAAACCACTTGTAGAATGCAAGACACAAAGTGCACCTTGTGGTTTTTCATGCAGCAAGCCCTGCTGTCATTGTTCTTGTCCAAAAGCGTGCAAATTCTACCCAGTTTGTTTGGGGCTGAAAACACCATGGGCACGTTGTATCTATTGGCAACATTTTTTAAGTTGTGCGACGTCTTGTGGATGTATGGTATAACTAGTGGTCGGATATTGGTAAGGTCTTTGCTCTTTTTTCTTTTGGTCGATCCTTTACAGGTTTGTATCAGAGTGCCCGCAACTTCACTTAACATGGCTGATGGAAAGCCGGATCTTGAGAGTTTGTTTACTTGAGTGCTGAAACTCTGTTCGATGGTGTGGTGACAGGATTTTTTTCAAAGCTGAATACATGCACGAACTGGCTATCCCTCTTTTTATTAATTTTGAATGGGCAGATTGGTAATTAAGAATTTCTTTTTTGGAGCGTGGTAGGTAGGACCAACAAATGTGGTGATCTGAGATTTTTATAGATAGGTCCAGGAACTGCAGCACATTTAGAATAGGTTGTTCATACGTAAAACTCAGACCTTTACCGCTTCTGGAGAAAACACTCAGGATTGTATCTATTAAGTCTTCTGTTTGTTCTTCTTGGAGGATAATAAGAAAGTCATCAACGTACCTGAAGACTTTTATAATAGACATAGTGCTCAAAAGCGGTGCGAGGATCATGTCTACGCCTCCCAGAAAGATGTCGCTTAAGATGGGAGCAACACATGACCCAATGCACACTCCAGACCGCTGTAGGTATGAAGAATCTTGCCATTTTACAAACAAGGCTTTCAGATAAAAGTCTAGTAGCTCCATGAAGCTTTCCGTTGAAGTACCACTCGAATTCTGAAACTTGATTTCTCCTGATTGTTCAATAGTTGATTTGACTGAAGCCAGGAGAGCATCCTGTGGAATGGAGTAATACAGGTCCACCACGTCTACGCTGAAGGCTCCTCTCTTCTGATTGGTGTCACTCTTCAAAAAATCAATTACCTCCTCGGAGTTGTGTATGAGGAACGGGTCAACTATGTTGAGGCTAGAGAGGTGAGTCTGGAGATAGAGGGCGATCTGTTTCTGCCAAGTACCTCTTTCTGATACAATGGCCCTGAAGGGACATGCATCTTTGTGGGTTTTTGCACTAAAAAATATATCCAGGTGCAAGCCCTCAGCTTTCTTTATTTTTACCGCCAGCTGATTGAAACTTAGCTTTTGACAGGTGGCATATGCTCTTTCC